TCACACAAATGTGGAGAAATGGGAAAATTTCTAAACACACAGCCTCCCTAGTTCAACCAGGAAGAAACAGATCGCGCTGAACAGACGCAAGTGCTCAACAGCTGAGAATAGAAACAGCAATTACAAGAATCTCGCCCTAAAAAGAAAAGTCCCGGTCCGATGGTTTCTACACGCCGCGAAATTTTACCGACCAGCTGTCAAAGGAAGGGCCAGGAACTACCGTACTATCTTGCAGCAAACTATTCCACAACATCGAGAAGAACGGAAGAATCGCTCCACACACGCTTGCTTAGATGAGCGAGATACTTAATCTGAGTACCGAGACCGGAAAGGGATACGAAAAAAAAACGAACACATACACAACAAAGAGTGTCCGTAGGATGAATACAGATGACGAAAATTTTCACACAGAAATCTGGTGTAAAGCTACCGAATCCAGACGCCGCTATCGAAAAAGATAATCGGCCCGGGCGCGGTGCCGTCGCACGCGTGATAATCCGTAGCTCTCTGGAGCCGAGCGTGGGCCGGGAATGGCTCAAGGTCAGCGGTTCAAACCAGCCTCGTAGCAGAGAGCGTACTAGCCCGCGTCGTCTGACTATAAATAGAGAAATTATTGGCCACATAAATATGTATATATATAAATTAGCCGGCAGTGGTGGGGCAGTGCCTGTAGTCCCAGCTACTCGGAGAGGCTTGAGGCAGCTAGATGTCGCTTGCAGGCCAGGAGTTGAGGTTGCTGTGAGCCTTAGGCTGACCCATAGAGCACTCACTACGTAGCCTGGCCACAAGCGAGACTTGCTCAAAAAAATAAAGACATAATAATAATCCATCTACGACAACGTGGGCCTTCATTCGCCAGGAGCAAGTGGATGGTCGTCAACAACGGTAAATCTACTAAATGCAATTCTACACATAAACACGAAGCAAAAACAAAGAGCCACCCATGATTCTTTCAACAGATGCATAAGAAAGCTGTTTTGACAAATTCAAACACCTTTCTAGGGATGATATGAAACACTTAAGAAACATTACCGCACCTAGAAGCGGATCAGTACCTAGAACATGGATACAAGCTATATGATGACAGACCCATAGCCAACATCGATATCGCAATGGGCGAAAAATGAAAGCATCTCCCACTTAGAAACTGGAACCAGACAAGGCTGCCGACTATCCTCCACTTCTGTTCAGACATTAGTCGGCTGGAAGAGTCCGGGCGACAGCAGATCAGACCACGCGAAGGAGTGGAATTTAAAGGTATCAATAGGCGCAGAAGAGATCAAACTGTTCACTGCTGTGCTGATGATATCGATATTGTTAGTATCCTAGAAAATCCAAAGATTTCAACCAAGAGAAATTGCCGACACGCGTTAATCACATGAATCTGAGTAACAGTCTCAGGATAGTCAAAATTCAAGTGTCAAGTAATCAGATGAACTCGAGCGCTGGCATTCAGATACCGCCTAAAAACAACACAATCAATTTGAGAGATCCAAACTCAAGATTCCTCATTCCCTCAACAATAGCAACAAAGGACACATTGAAGCAGTACCTGAGAATATACCTTAACCAAGGAGGTAAAAGCAGCCTCTACAGGGCGGAGAACCATGAAACACTGAGGAGAGGAAATAGCAGAGAATGTAAACGATGACAATCCAGTTCCGATGCTCGTGGATCGCAGAGGCTCAATATGCATAATGTCTAACACCCAACAGTGTGATCTATCAGATTCAATGCAATACGCTATGTTAAATTCCCATCAAGCATGCTCACCAGACTATAAGAAAAAATAATCTTACGCTTCGTATGCGAACCAAAGAAGACGAATATCAAGCAGCGCATTCTAGGCAAACAAAAGTGACAAATATGGGAAGTAGTTAATACTGCCATATACTTAAACTAATACTACAAAGCCCTGTAGTGGATTTAACAATCTCGCGTCATTGGCACAAAAATAGCGATGATAGTCGACCAGTGCAATCAGATCTGAGAATGCCCTCTGAGTAAAATCCATTCCTTCATACTAAGCCATCTAATCTTTAGTTGACGAAAGCAGACTGCAAAACATACACGTAGGAAAAGAATCACTTTTCAAAAATCTGGTGCTGGGAAAACCTGGATAGCCCACTTCTAGAAGGCTAAAGCAGGACCCAGCACCTTCACCGTCGTCACAAAAGATCAACTCACGCCGGACTAACAGAGCTTAAAGCGCTAGGTTATGAAATATGTAGAGAATTCTAGAGATACAAAGTTTGGAAACACTTCTCACTCAGACATCCGGCCTAGCAACGAGAGTGTTAGTCGAAGAAGTCCCCAAAGGGCAATCAGAAGGCAGCAACAAAAGCTAAGATAAATGGACATGACAAAGCTAAGAAAGGCGTTCTGTACAGCCAAAGAAACAGGTCGATGGAATATAATGTATACATTACGGAAAACTCTAAGAACTGGAAATCGTGGAGAGGTAAAAGTATTTTGATACTTCATTCACGCTATGCTCAGATGAAAGAATAGGGCGGCTGAATAACTAGAATATACTATAGACTCACGGAAAGATCAGAAGAAAAAATCAAAAGTAACTCTTCATTTATAAAAGTGGGCCAAAGGACCAGTGTATGGAAAACAGGACAACCGGACGGTTCTCTATTAGAAGAAGAGAAAGAGCAGAAAAGAATTGTGTAAAACCAAACAAAAAACCATATCGAGACATTAGGCCTAACAATGCTCAACATCCTCTAAATTCACACTTCTAGGCGAATACAATGCAGACATCGAAAACCACAAGTGAGATATCACTAACTGCTAGGGAGAATGCCTGTATATCAAAAAGTCCCAAATAACAGAATGTGTGGTTTTGAACTCCTGACCTCGAGCAATCCGCCCGCCTCGGCCTCCCAGAGTGCTAGGATTACAGGCGTGAGCCACCGCGCCCGGCCTAAAAGTAAGTTTTAAATAGTTATAAAACTATCCTGAAATTATTACCAAACTGTAGAAAATGTCACAGCAAAATACTAGACCTAAGGTCATAATCATTCTGAAATCTACTGAAATATATGCTTTCTCTAGATATTTAGGGCTTATAGGTATTATAGGTACAACAAGTTACAGTTAAACAAACAAAAAAATAAGCTGCTAGCTCACAGAACATTTATTGTGACTATTCTCTGCATAGCACTGTATTGAGATATATCGTAAAATACAAAGAAAAGAGAATATAGTTGGCCTTCATATCCATGGGTTCCGTATCCATGGATTCAACCAATGGCAGATTGAAAATACTAAAAAATAATAATAGGCCCTCCTGTTATGACACTGAGTCTGTTCATTATCTGTGATGAACATATCTTACTTTACTCAATAAACTTCACCTTGTGCTTGCCTTAAAAAATAAATAAAATAACAATAATTATAATACAAAATAACAATATAATAAAAAATAATTCAAATAAAAACCAATATAAAAAAAGAAGAAAAAAAGAAAATCTATGGTATAACAATTATTTACATAGTACTTATATTGTATTAGGTATTAGAAATAATTTTAGAGATGGTTTAAAGTATATGAACAGAGGAGGGATGGGGAATCATTGCAGCCATGGTTGCTGTTTGCAGTGGTCTAGGGAGGAAAAAGTGGGCACGCTTGGTAACGGCTGTTGTCTACTTCGCACATCCTGGCCCTCACGCAGTGTTGTGGAGCAGAGGTTGTTCACAGTATAAACATGTGACCAGCAATGAGTACATGCCTATTCCAATGGAAAATCCTTATAAGGAGCCTCCTAAGAAATGTATCTTGTGTGGAAAATGTGTAGATTATAAGAATGTACAGCTTTTGTCCCAGTTTATTTCTCCATTTACTGGATGCATTTATGGAAGGCACATAACAGGTCTTTGTGGGACAAAACAGAGAGAAATCACAAAAGCAATTAAGAGAGCTCAAATACTGGGGTTTATGCCAGTTACATACAAGGATCCTGTGTATCTCAAAGACCTTAAAGTTTGCAACATCAGATATCAGGAATAAATTACATAATGTGACCACCAATAAACTTATTTTACAGTAAAAAAAAAAAGTATATGGACAGATGTATAAAAGTTATATGCAAATACTGCACTGAGCATCCACAGATCTTGATATCAGTGAGGAGGGGGTTTTCCTAGAATTGATCCCCCACAATTACAAAGGGATGACTATATATCATCTCTGATTTTATAGAAGTAATAATGCATTTATGAATTCATAATATAATTTCATGAACACATAAATACCAAATAAGGTAAAACAAGAATATTAGAAAAAAAATACATAATCATCTCAATAGATGCAGAAAAAGCATTTAACAAAAGTCAACAGTCTTTCATGATAAAACACTTAAGCTAGGAATAGAAGAGAACATCCTTAACTTGATACGGCATATCTAGGAAAAATCTATAACTAACATCATACTTAATGGTGAAAAAATTAATATTTCCCTCTAAGATAAAGAACAAGATAAAGATATTCACAATAACCACTTGGATTCAATCTTATACTAGAAGTACTAGCCCAGGCAATTAGGCAAGAAAAACAAAAGGCATTCAGGTTACAAATGAAGTAAGACAATCCCTATTGCAAATGGCATGATATTATATATAGAAAATCCTAAGGAATACACACACACACACACACACATGTAAATATGGGAAATAATAAATGAGTTTGGCAAGGTTGCAGGACACAAGACCAAGATACAAAACCAATTATATTTCTAGACACTAAGAATGAACAACCCAAAACTGAAATTCAGAAAACAATTCCATTTATAATAGCTTCAAAAAATACTTGGGAATAAATCTAACAAAGTACAAGGCTGGTAGAATGCAGCAGTATTGGGAAAAAATGAAAAAGCACTAGATGGTAGACCAAAATGATGCAAACTAGCCTCCTGGTAATCTAGAAATATGCTCAATATATTCAAGAAAGTAAAAGAAAATATGAATATAATAATAAGAAAATTTACCAGAAACAATATCTGAAATGAAAATTAATGTGAAACTTAATGTGAGTAACAACAGCTTGATACCAGAGAAGAAAGAATTAGTGTACTTAAAATGATGCAAAGAATCCATCCAAAATGAAGCATAAAGAGAAAAAGACTGAAAATTCTGAACAGAGATTCAATAACTCTGGAATAATATCAAACAGTCTAACATACATGTAATTGGAATTCCAGAATGGGAAGAAGATGGGAACAAAAGGGAAAAAATTGAAGAAATAATGTCTGAATATTTTCCAAGTTTAATGAGAACTATAAAACCCACAGATCTAAGAATCTCAACAAACCTCAATCAGAAGAAATATAAAATAAATAATACCAAAATACTTCCCAATCAAATAGCTAAATAGTAACAAAAAAGAGAAAATCTTAAAAGCAGCCAGATAAAAAAGACATTACAGAAAGAAACCCAGGATAGACTTCCAGCATGACAACATGGGCAGCTCCGTAGACCTGCTTCCTAATGAAAGTAGGGACAAATATTATAAAAACAAGGATTTAATGCCTCTGGAAATGGTTGTAAGGGTATACAAAAAATAAAGAAGCATCTATTTAATAAAATCTGTAGTAAGAAAAATGAACCTATTTGAACCTAAACCACTTCCTCCCTATCCCTTCCAAGATCAGTCAGTAAGAAACTGCACTCAACACCAGTGCACTCAAGAACAAAGGGCTCACTCTCCCCCAAGCTTCCAGCTGGGGGTCTTAACTACTTGTTGCTGAAGCTAAGTTCTGGGTGAGTGTAATTAGGAGGTAGGGGCTCCCTTGTTTCACCCATCGCCCACTCATAAAACAGAGGCTCTACCTTGGATATAACGTCCACTGACAATACTGGGTCCATCATCACACTTGCCCTGGCTAGTAAAGTGGTGGTTCCAGGTTAAGAGGAGCAAGCCAAATTGACCTCAGGCTACTGTCCCCCACTCCACTGAGTGTTCACCTCCAAAAGTGGGAGTGTCTCTAGAGAAAAACATGTCACTTCTAGTTCCAGAACCCTGGCTTAGAGATTTTGCCTGGGGGTGGAGGAGAAGCTTGTCATAAAATAAATAGTTCCTAATCGTTTTCCAAAGAAATTAACTTAATTTGCAATAAAGCATGGAGAAGTTCAAGCCTAAGGGTGTCCTCAAAAACTGGAAGTTGTGGTGGAAGGAAGATGTGAGGAGATTCAGTTATTTGATAAAGATGCAGGCCAGTTTGTGAGAGACAGCCAGGGAGAGAGAATGCTGGGAGGAGTCCTCCTGGAGTCAGAACAAAATCAGACACTGACCTCACCAACTGATCCTTCAAGGGAGCTTGGGTTTGATTAAATTAATCAATAGAGCAATTGAGACTTCCAGAGAATTGTTTAGAACAGTAGAACACTGTAAACCTAGCACTCTGGGGGGCCGAGGAGGAAGGATTGCTTGAGGCCAAAACTTGGAGATCAGCCTGAGCAAGAGTGAGACCCCATCTCTACAAAAAAAAAAAAAAAAAAGAAAAGAAAAATTTAGCGGGGCATGGTGGCTCAACCCTGTAGTCCCAGCTACTCGGGAGGCTGAGGCAGGAGGATCACTTGAGCCCAGGAGTTGGAGGTTGCAGTGAGCTATGATAATGCCACTACACTCTAGCGTGGGAAACAGAACAAGATCCTGTCTTAAAAACAAAACAAAACAAAAAAGCAGTAGAGCAATCAGCCAACAATTAGGAGTCCAACAGCTATGTGTGGCCAAGAAAAGAGAAAAGAGAGCTCTGTTGAGACCACTGTCACTCCAAGATGACTGTGGGAATACTCAAAGCTGTGGTTCCCTAAGGAGCAATGTCAGAGGCTTAACGCTGGAGAGACTTGGGGGAGGAGAATAGACTTTACTAAAATAATCCACCCAGAGTCACTAAACAAATAAACAAGCAAAGGTTCGGATTCCAACAACATATAATGAGGCATATAAAAAAATAGGAAAGTAGGACCCATATCTTGGGAAAAAAAAGGAGACAACAGAAACTACTTGTGAGAGCAAAGAGAAACATATTTATGACCACTTAAAAATGTTCAAAAAATTAAAGGATATCATACTTAAAGTAAAGGAAGGTATGATGACAACATCTCATTAAATAGAGATTGTTAATAAAAAGCTAGACTTTTTTTTAAAAAAAAGAACTTAATGGAAATTCTGCAGCTGAAAAAGATAATAACTGAAATGAAAAATTCACTAGAACTCAACAGATTTTAATTGAAAGAGGAAAGAACTGGCAAACTTGAAGATAAATTGATAGACATTATGCAATCCAAAAAATGTAGGGGGAAAAAAAGAAAGAAGAAAGCAACAGATCCTCAGATAGATGTGGGAGATGATTAAGTGCATCAACATATTTATCATGGGACTATCATGAGAAGAAAGAAGCAGAAAAAATATTTGAGGACATAATGGTTGAAAATTTTTCCAAATTTATGGAAAAATACTAGGCTATGCATACAGACAGCTCAAAGGACTTAACTAGATAAACGCAAAGAAATTCAGAAACAGACATGGAATAATCTTGAAGCAGCAAGAGTAATAAGCTGTCAACCAAGAATGTTACGTTCACCAAAGCCATTGTTCAAAAACGAAAGCAAAATAAAAACATTCCCAGATAAACAAAAACTGAAAGAATTTGTTGCCAGCAGATCTACTTATGAGAAATACTACCGGGCGCGGTGGCTCACGCCTGTAATCCTAGCACTCTGGGAGGCCGAGGCGGGCGGATTGCTCAAGGTCAGGAATTCAAAACCAGCCTGAGTGAGACCCCGTCTCTACCATAAAAATAGAAAGAAATTAATTGGCCAACTAATATATATAATATAAAAATCAGCCGGGCATGGTGGCTCGTGCCTGTAGTCCCAGCTACTCGGGAGGCTGAGGCAGGAGGATCGCTTGAGCCCAGGAGTTTGAGGTTGCTGTGAGCTAGGCTGACACCACGGCACTCACTCTAGCCTGGGCAAGAAAGCGAGACTCTGTCTCAAAAAAAAAAAAAAAAAAAAAGAAATACTAACAAGATTTCTTCAGGTTGAAAGCAAGTGGCTCTAGGTGATAATTCAAATGCTCGTGAAAAAACAATGAGCACTGGTAAAGTAAATTGTACAAATGATAAAAGACAATGTAAAGGCATATTTTTCTCCTTTATTCTTTTATCTAATTTGAAAAAGAATTATATAACATAATATGTATATAATTTATTGTTCAACTCATAACATATAGAAATATACTATATTTGAAACATACTTCCCAAAGGAAAGTATAAAGGAAAAGATAAAAGCAAAGCTGTATTGAGCTAAGAAGAGGACTACAGACAGCAAAATAATAAATATAACAATGTATTGTTGGTGTTTTAACATTAATATATGAAATATATATAACAAGAACACCACAAAAAGGAGGGAAAAGGTTTGGGAGTAATATTTATATAACTCACTGGAATCAAGTAAGGTAGCATAAACCTGAAGCTGTTTAAGTTAGATGCCTATGATAAACCCTAGAGTAAACACTAAAAAAAACCTTTTAACAAAATTATTAAAGGAACTTAGATTCCTTATTAGAAAATAACTCAATTAGAAAGCAACAAAGAAGGAAGAGAGGAACAAAATGACACATAGAAAACAAAAAGTTATTCTATCCATGTGTAAAGCTAGAAAAAAAAAAAAAAAAAAAAAAAAAAAAAGTTAAATGATAGATGTAAATCCAACCCTATTAAGATTAATATTCAGGGCATGGTGTTGTGGCTCATGCCTGTAATCCTAACACTCTGTGAGGCCAAAATGGGAGGATCACTTGAGGCTGGGAATTTGAGACCAGCCTGAGCAAGAGCAAGACCCCATCTCTACAAAAAATAGAAAAATTAACTGGGCATGGTGCCATGCTCCTGTAGTCTCAGCTGAGGCAGGAGGATCAATTGAGCCCAGGAGTTTGAGTCGGTTGTGAGCTAGGCTGACACCACAGCACTCTAGCCCGGGCAACAGAGTGAGACTCTGTCTCTAAATAAATAAATAAAAGTTCTCAAATCAATAACCTGAATTTCCACCCTAA